CTCGGTACAATAAAAGTACGGTCGGGCAGCCCAAATGTTATTTTGGGCCTAACCTGCTAAAAATAGTAATTATTCAAGAATGACTTCCTAGACCCATTGGAGGGTGACCCACACGCTTGGTATCCCAGATATATAAATATTAATATCATAATTGAATGATGGAATGATTGGAGAAGAATACAAATGCCTATGGTCCCCCATCTTTGGCATTATTAGGCTAAATAATGGGAGCAGGGTTTTCTTTTGTAATTATACATCAAATAAATTATTGGGACCACCCTACACATATTAGAGACCAATAATATGATGTAGGAGGTTTTCTTTATCTAAATAAATTGGGGAGAGTACAAAAGTACATCTTATGACAAAGGACAAAAATGATAGGACCCATCTTTCCACTTTTGGATGTATTGGAAGATATTTTGCTCCCAAATTAATTAGGGGACATGAGAGTACGCCCCACACCTTCCTAGAACCTGCAAAACAAGTAGAATAAGTTAGAACTCATAAATGGGGCGGACTTATTGAGTTGAGAGCTCAAACAATACAAAAGAGAAATAAAAGAGGAGGACCATCCCATGTTTGATTGGGATCAAATACCCTACCTTTTTTTTAGAGCCACTCATTTAGATCAGAGATCTTCTAAACACCTCCCCTCACCCCTCATTCTAAATCCAAAGATAAGGAAGAGAGAGGAGCCGCACAACTCAAGAAAAAGAAGAAGAAGGAGAGCTGGCCGCAGGAGTTTTCCAGGTGTGTAGGCCTCCTTGTTCGACTCATAATATGAGTTCCACTCATCAAATTAAAGCGTGTGAGGTTCCCTCTGAAAGCTCTGGAGAAGAGGAATACATAGACGTACGGGTTTAAGGAAACAGAGCAGTTTAAAGCCTCCAAATCGTCCGAACACAATGAAACCTCGCAGAATACGTTTGTGGTATTCAAAGTAAGTTTGAATCCAAAACCTTCCTTTCTATTGCCAAAATCCTTTGAATGGTTGAAGAACTATTATACACTGGTTTAAGTGTATAAAATGTTATTATATAGTAATTTTTATTGTTGGAAAGGTTAGATACTAACCTAGACAAAACCTTGAAAGGTTAGGGAACGAATTCGCCGGAAAACACCCGTTCTAGGGACTGTTTTCGTGTTGACGTTTAGGGGTTGAGCTAGCACTGTGAGGAGGCTTCTTAACACTCATTTTTAAGCAAGGATTCAGTTCTTAATCCACCTTGGCCGAAGCTTTGACCATTGGATCAAGAAGAAGAAATTTAAAGCTCATTTAAGGTGAGGATCGACATCTAGTTGCTTACAACTTGTAGGTTAAGCATGAGATTACCTAAATGCCTAAATCATGTTTTTGATGGATTATAATGACTGATTATTGATGAAATATTGATATACTAGATAAGGAATGAAATTGCAAATGATTTGAATCATATTGATAAAAATGGAGTTAAATGAACTATTGTGTGAAATAGGCATTTTTACTCATGTGTGAATTGTGTAGATACATAAATGATTATTTATGTATTACATTGGATGATTAAGTTGCTGCTACATATTTCTAAATATGTAGGGATTTACAAATGAAATATATGATTGATGGGAATAATCTTAATAGTATTGGAATACTAGTTAATGATTGTTTGTAATTGTTAAGGAATTGAATCTAAGGATTTGATTGTAAGTGATGTACTTGATTGTTGTTCAAGTGACTAAATTGATGTGATATGATGCTAAGATCATGATGAGGCAGTCCGTAAGGATGTCCCGAAATAGATTATTGATATTACAATTCTAGGCATAGCGAGTGCTTAGGAATTGGGGTCTATGCCAATGCAAAGAGATGTACTTGAGCCCGATGCTCTAGAATTGCATGGGTGAACATGACGTCGGAGATTGGTGGAGTATTTGATTTGTGAATGATGTGCATGGTGATATAGTCAAGTTGGACTCGAGGAATACAAACATGTGTGTTAGGGTTGAACCCTATGTATTGTCGTGACTAGGGGTCACGGGGTTTGGGTTATGATTTGTAAACGAACTTTGGGCCATGGGCCGACTACTTGACTTTATATATAAAGTAAGTATATTTTGAAAAGGCGTAACTTGGGGTTACGGCCTATATTATATTATCACCCTATTTGAGGGTCTTGTGTTTGAAATACTTGTTGTATATCTATTAGATGTCATCCACATCAGTACTTTATAGCCGTATAGAGTACTAACCCCCTTTCGGGGGGCGTCCCACCACCATTTCAGGTTGAGGCTAGAGCTTGCTACCTGTGCTTGTTGATCGGGCGATCATCTCGGAGGGAAGACTTGGTTCGTGCTTCCTCCATTCTGTTTTTAAACAATCTAAACATGCTCATGGATATTGTTTTACATTATGGAGCCTGCGTGCTCGTGTTTGCCCCGTGTGGCACTTTTTTTCAAACTATGATTTCCGCTGCGTATTCAATTACTTATTATGTATGTTTATGGATGACTTATGTGTGAATGATATTCGAGACGCCTTGTATAATATGGATGAGTTAGACTGCGGTTGACTATTCATATTGTACGGCAGATTGTTGACGTGTCCGGATAGGTCCGGAGCGTGACAATTTTTTCGTGGGGCACCTTTAACAAACTCAGAGATTTCACTTTGTTGAATAAGGCGTTCAATTTCCCTTTTAAGGGTGACGCAATCGTCTGTGTTGTGGGAGGTGTTCCTGCGGTACGACAATATGTTCCGCCCTGATGGATGGCATAGATCTCCTTCGCCGGGTGAGGATCCTTGGCTATCAGGCCATGCTCCCCCGCAAAGTATAGGATGATGCTCACCAGGTGAGTGAGTGGAGTCCGTGATATATCTAGTCGGGGCCGCCATCGGCGTGTATCTCGGCGCTGCCCCTCGGACCTGGGGTGTGCCTACCTTCAGGGGTCTTGTTCCCTGGCCGGTGGTGCGTTGGGAGCAGGTGCGTTGCTGTTCTTCTTGAGTGGTTGTCCACCATCTTTCTTGTGAGAGTGTAACTCATCGGCATCAGCGTACAAGCCCCGTCATTGGAGTGCCTTCGTGTATGACCTTGGTGGTTCAGTGATGAGGCTTCTCGCGTAGGGGCTATTATTGAGTTATGAAATGCATGAAATTCGTGCTTATGTGAAGTATGTGGAGTAAGTAAGATCCTTCGTATGTGTTTATCTGTTTGAATTTAGTAGAGAACTTGTATAATGTAGAAGCCTTATGAATGCCTTAGTACTTAGTACTCGATTTCTGTATTAAGAATCATGCCGCCGAGGAGAGACCCACATTCAACCCCAACTGTCGCGGAGCTGGCCCAAACTGTCCAGCAAATGGCGCAGCTCATAGGAGCAGCCCAACCCCAGAACCCTGGGATTGACTACGCAACAAGGGTTGCCGGGCGAAACCCTCCAAAATACTTGGGTGAGGAAGACCACCTTATCTTGGAGGACTGGATCCGCACTTTCGACAAGCTCTTTGATTCACTGAATTGCCCGTCGGAGCAACGGGTGAATATTGCGGTGTACTATCTGCACCAAGAAGCGGACCACTGGTGGGCCGCCAACGGACTAGCACTTCTCGGGCAACCGCGCTTCGATTGGGAGGACTTCATAGTAGCGTTGCGGGATCGCTTCTACCCAGATCACGTGAAGGAAGCAAATTATGAAGAATTTGTCAACTTTAAACAAGGTGACCTGACTGTTCAGGAGTACCACACGAAATTCGTTCAACTGGCACGTTTTGCCAAGGACCTGGTGTCGACAGAGGCCACTATGACCCGCAGGTTTGTTAACGGGCTTAACTTCGGGGCCCAAAAGTTCGTGATGGTAGCAGAGCCGCGGAATTTGAATGAGGCTTATAGAAAGGCTGGTAAGTACTACCTGGTACACCAGAAGGAAAGGGAGGCACACAAAAGAGACCGAAAGAATGCGGAAGTGGAGCAACAACAGAAGAAGGCCAAGATTGATCGCCCTGAGCAGCGCCAGAACAACCAAGGCGGAGGAAGATTCCAAGGTCAAAATCAGAGGAGGGATCGTGAGAGGCACTATTACTGCAAGCGTTGTAATAGAGATCACACAGGCGTAAATTGTGACGGAAGTCAAACCAAATGTTTCAATTGCGACAAGCTAGGACACCGAGCTTTTGAATGCAATTCCAAAAAGGCGGACATACCGGCAAACCCGAATCAGAGGAGTGATGGAAACAATGACAACAACCCCAATAGAGGTCAAATCTACGTGATGAATCAAACTCAGGCAAACACTCACAATCTCGACTCAGGTAATATTCTTGTTACGAGGACGTAACCTCTCGTTAAGGTGGGTAGAATGTAATACTTTAGAATTTTGAAATTTAACTTTAGTTTATGTTTCGGGACGAAACATCTTTTAAGGAGGGTAGAATGTGACACTTCAAAAATTTAAATAAAAATAAAAATAATTTTTATTAATCAGATAAAATATTACGAAAATAACATTTTAATTATTAATTGACTCAGACAAAAAAAAAAATTAACAGTTGTAACATTCTAATCAGATGAAAATTTCCAAGTTTACGACTTTTTAATCAGATAAAAATGACCCGATAATAGAAGTTATGTTTTAGTATAAAATTAATTTTTATATAACTATTTTAGGTTGTATAATATACAAAGTATAAAGTAAATAATTAAAATACTCATAATACTCCTAACTAACTAGATACGTATATTCCTAATAGATATATAACTAGGTAATACTAATTATACTCAAATACTAACATTAGTATTAGGAGTATACTCATCTTTCCTACGTAATACGTAATACTAACAATACTAACTAGTTACATTAGTTATACTAACATTAACTACGTAATACTAATTATATAACAATTATACTCCTAATACTCATAAAGGTGCAAAAGAATCAAAATTTAACTCCAACTCTAACACAGCCCGAAACCCTCATCTTTCCCTATAAATAGCAAGCCAGAACCTGCGTTTTCTTCATCCCAAAACCTGCGACATATATATACACATATACGTATATATATATATAAAATTGCGACCTAGCGTTTTAGCCAGAACCAAGCCTTGAAAATACTTCTCAAACCTTCCCCTTCGCGAGACGAATCCAACGGAGAAAGAATCGTCGAAAACGGTCGTGAAACGAGGGAGAAAAGCCTCGCCGGAGTATTCGCCGGGCTAACCGTAAAATCGGAAAACGAGGAGGAGGGGGTTGCCGCTGCCGCCGCCAGTCCATCACCGATCACCGCCGACCCAGAAGGAGCCGTTTGCACCGCCGTTTCGCCCGTCCAAGGAGGTAAAATTTTTCCCTGCGTTTTCTCTCCTCCGGCGTTGCAGCGAAGAAGACAACCCAGCTGAAGCTGAGGTCTGTCTTTTGGGCCAGCAGCTATTGGGCTGTTTGTTTTATTTTATTTTATTTTGGGCCAATTCGGCCCAGTTGCAATAAAAATTAAAAATAAAATAGTAAATGAAATAAATAAAATCTGGAAAATTATAAATTAAATACCCAGTATAAATATACATATTCGGACCAACCAGAATTGGAAAATAATATTTTTAGCTATTTTTAATTGATTTAATGGTAATTGGGCCAATTTATACACATTTAGTAAATAATTAACTAAATAACGAAAATAATTATGAAATAAATATTGGAGTAAACTAGGATAAATATATGACTAACTAGGACCTTATGGACCATTTATAATTAATAAATATTAAGGTTTAGTATATTTAATTGTAATTAAACCGGTTAATAGATATATGAAATTAAAGGAATAATTATGGAAAATAATTATAAAATAGATATCTGGACAACCCAGGTCAAATATAGACTCAAAATATAGTTATAGACGGTTATTAATTTATAAAGTCGATTCTTAGGCTATTTATTTAAATTAGGCCATATAAAACTAGTTAAGTAATTAAATAAGGAAATATTAATATTAATGGTGAAATAAATAAATCACTGAGATTGAAAAATAATATTCTGGACTAAAAATAATGTTGGGATAAAATAAGGAAAATAAAATAAGATTGGGTTAGCTAGCATAAATAATTGACTATATGTAGACTTAATAAATAACTTAATTACGTAATTAGTGGACTAATTCAATTAATAATTTTTATGATTGATTATTAGAGATTCGGACTTCATATAAATATTTAAAGTATTTGAACTCATAAATTAATGGGTTAATATAAATAAAGTAATTAAATAATATTTTATAAGTAGAGTAAATTAATGGTGATTATTGAATAAAAATTGGATGTTGTAGTTAATTATATTCGGATATTTTATTTAAAATTAGAATTCAAATATTGTAATTAATGGCTGAATTCATAAGGTAATTTGATTAATAAAAAGTGATTAATAAACCAAAGTTTATGCGAATAATAAAATAAAAGGAGAAAATCGGGTAAAGTAATTACAAATAGAATAAGTGACTAATTTATCATATTTAATTAAAAAGGTGATTATCTAGAGACCAGATTAGAAGAGGATAACTAGGAGCAACAGGACTTGAGGTAAGTTTCTCTGCCAATCCAAAATTTGTTTCCTCGTATTATATGCTTATTATGCATTATGTGATTAAGTGTGAATTTTAAATGTGTACTATTTGGGGTGACTAAGAATTTGAGAAATATTGAAGGTATATTTTGGGATTTAATCCCTAGTATGACTTTGGAGTGAATTTTTATGTAAAAGAATTTTGGAGTATTTATGAATGTGAATTTTTGGTGGACGTATCTATTAAATAGATATTCTGGAGGACTATATATAGAGAGATGATTTTTCAAGAAGGAATAATGTTTTTCAATAATTATTGACATCTCGAGAGAAACACGAGGTGTGGGTGGTTAGAGCTATATACCGCGGGTTTAGTTTAGGTTTATGATGATTATTGGTGGCGGGAGATATCCCGGTAAATATTAGTGGCGGGAGATTCCCGGTATTTCTTTTGAGAACTTTAAAAGTTCTTTGGTGGCCGCGGTAGTAGTTTCTAATTACCCGGGTTTCTAACCCATTGTGAGGTAGGGGGACGTTGTCCGAACTACTTGGACTTCTTACTACTCGGAGGGCTTGGAATCCCTTTTAGGGGGTGTGCACACTTAAGGGTGAAGTTCAGTTTCCAATTGGTGGTCGGTGGGAGCCGGAATTCCGGGATGAGTCGTACACAACAACGATTCATTGGGCTCGAGGAATCTTGAGTTTCGCCCATCTTAAAAGAATCTGAAAGTGACATTGATTTCGGAATGGTGATATTTTTAGCTTCAAAAGTTATTTTTGAAAAGTGATACTTCTTTTGAGATATTAATTAATTGTTGGGAGCTTATAAATATTATTTTTAATTATACGGGTATTTGAGATTATAAAGTTGATAAATGATGTTTTTGATTGGAAAAGAATTTCGGTGGTGTGAGTATTTTTATATAGTATTATATGAAAAATTATTTTCGCCAAACCTGATTATTTTACGGGGTTGGGTAGTACTTACTTAGCTCTAAAGCTAATTTTTGTTTCCTTTTCTTTGTTTCGTTTTCTGCACTTTATTTGTGCACTTTATTTGATGAATTCGAAGCTCATGATGTTTGATGAACCTGGATAGCACTTTAGAAGAATTTAGTGTAGTCTTCACTTAGATTAAATAATGCTAGTAGATTTTGAATTCAAGTTTTTAATTCGGTTGAACTCATGGTGGATAGCCTTAACATCCAGCCAAGTTGAGGGCTGGGTGTGGCGGTAACACACCCTTTTTCCATTACTGTTATTTCCGCTGCAAAACTCTATCTATTTTTAAGAAATAAATCAAGATTGTTATCAATATATTATTATTTCAAGTATTATTTTGGGCGAAAAAAATGGGGGTGTTACAGCCTTGAAGGAGGACGAGGAGAGTGCGGTCATCGACACCTTCGACCTCGTCGGTCTCCTTCGTCCTCCGCTCTAAGAAGCTACAGAGCGGTTCGTCGTGTTGTTGTTTGATAGTGAGAAGGTCGGAGAAGTGCTTCTTCGCGCGCTTCCTTCCAGCAAAGTAGGTGAGGAAGTGTTGTGCAACATCCTGCCATGAGTCCACGCTGCCTTCAGGTAGCGCATTCAACTACTTGTACGTCGGTCTCTCAAAAATGGAGAGAAACCAATGGCACAGGTATTCATCTGACGCATATATCATCAGCATGTTGTTCTGGTAACGGCTGAAATGTTCTTTGGGGTCCGTGCGAGTGTCGTAGGGCTTGATGTTGTTCCCTCGGTATTTCTCGGGGATTGGGGCAGAGAGCACCCTCTCTGTGAAGGAAGTCTTTGTCCTGATTTGTATGATGGGGTCACCGCATCCTTCGGCCTGCTCCCTCTCCAAAGTGCTAACCTTGTGCAGGAGGGCGTTGTAGCCGGGATCCCGGGAGGTGTTGGGTGTGGCCTCACCAGCCAGCTGTCTTGCTTCCATTTGGGCCATTCGCCTCTCCAGCTGGGCGATGACTTCGACGCGGGGATCCTTTGTGGCCATAGCGGCTCCTTGCTGAGTCTGGACACGGGTCGCATGGGCTTGGTTGATTTGATGGCGCCAAATGATAAAGTATTAATCTTAGTGAGAAGTGAGAACTGGAGAGAGAAAGTGAGCAATTAATATTTCTGAACCCTCTATAACTACCCTTTAGGGGGGCTATTTATAGGGGAAAATGTGGGTTTGGGCTCCTAAGTCTTGGGCTTGGGAAGCACAATTCAAAATAGGGCCTCTAATGGGTTGAGTACATGATTTATGAAACCAAGTGTAACATATCTTTTGTCGAAGTCTCTTTAGCCGACGGAGGACCAGGCCGAGGGAGGGCCTGGCTGACGGAGGACCCATTTCTGTTCCTGGGCTTCTGGGTGGTATTCTGAGATCCGTTTGGTTTTGGACGATGGAGGGTCATCTGGCCGATAAAGGACCACGTGGGTGCCGATTGTGCTTGTATTTAGTTCTCTGAGTATGTGGGTCATGGGGTCTAGGCCCATATCCTCTATCAATCCTGTTGGTGCATAACTAATATAATATCATGTCAGTCCACATACAAACATATACAAAGAAAATACACACATATCTATGATTGAGTCCAGTGTAATGATTTATATCTATTAAGCTTAACACTTATATTCAATTACATTTTCCTTGAGATGCATTCAATGTGAATTCCTAGAGAAACACACAAAGGTCATGTATATTTAAGTATATATTTTTCTTTGTACACACAGAAACATACTATCGTATATAGATTGATGTGTAATTGTGTTCCCCAATATGTTAATCTTTATTATACTTGATTGTTTTGTTATAACATATGAAAGTATAATTATGCTGAGGAATGTACCTTATCTTTTGTTGATTTAGTTATCTTACACATAACTCAAGACGTGATTCAATATACTCTGTATGTGTGTAATTTTTCTAGGGAAAAGGAACATATATACCCCTGCACTATTATGGTGGGAACAGATATACCCCTCTTCTTTATTTTGGAACAAAAAACTGATAAAACTGCAATTAAGATACAATTGTACCCCTCTCCTAACGTTTGACAACTTTCCGTCAGAACTAAAGTTACACCCAGAATTGAATGGGCATCCATTCTATCTTCTCCATCGCAGCGACTAGGGTCAGCTACAGCTCCATGCTTCTTCACATTTTAGCAGTGACCTGATTAAAGCTTCTTCCTTCGTCCTTATATTTTTAATGTCTTCATCTTCCCCGATTTGGTCCAGTAGCCCAGCAAAGCCAGTCACTTTCGAGCTTGACTATAAAGGACAGTGCAAATGATTCTTTTGTGGACAAAAAGCTCCAAGATTCAAAACACAAACTCAAAATAACCCAGGACGCCGTTTCTACGGTTGTCCAAACTACAGAGTAACTTTTTGTTTATTTACCTAGACATTTCCTTCGTGGGATGTTTATGGTTGTCTTTTGTGTATCTATTTTTTTACATGTTATTTGAATAGAAAAGTGAATACAAAATGTGAAGGTGAATGGATGCAGATATTTTGAATGGCATGATGAAGCTTTACCGATTTGGGCTAAAGATTTGATAAATGAGCCGAAGTTAGAAAGAAAAATGCCGCGAATGGAGAATAAGAGACTAAATTTGTTGAGAGCCAAAATGACATATGGATTGTTGAGAGCCAAATGACAGGTTCATTGGCAGATAAAGCAAAACTGAAGAAGCGGAAAAAGATAGCTTACCTGTTTGCTATGATTAGTTGGCTAGTATTGGCAATTGTCCTTGTAATGAAACATTGAGATGTTAGAATGATGTTGTTGCCTCTATTGTTATAGTATTTCTTAGTATTATCAGTATGAAGCTGTAACTGTATTGTGGTGTGCCATAATGATCTATGTTGTCTATGACTATGTTGTTATCATTTCTATGTTCTTGACTCCATTGTCATAATGTTTTGTAATTGAAGAATATGTTGTTTAGATTCCAGCACATGTTCTTTATGAATAGGATTATAGGAGTATTTTGTGTGTTGAGTTATTAGTATTCAACTTGCTTATACAGGTAATAGTGAGACACATGACCAGACCGAATGTAGTTTCATGTTGTTGCTAAAAGCCAAAACGGCATCTGTACAGTTGAACTTACATAGTGCAAATAACATGTTGTAGTTTAACTTACATAAAAGACAACACAACAAATGCTTTTGTGGACAAACAACTCCAAGACTCCACTGTCATAAGACTATTTTTAATTCCAGAACATTTTATTTAGATTGAGTGTGTGTTGTTTATATCCCATAGTAGTGTGTTTTTGGTAATAAACATGTTGTTTTTAGTTTTATCACTTAAATGACTAGTGGCCAACATGCCTAAATCCTCCCGACACTAAAATTCTCAACATCTTTACTCATAAAAATCTCTGGTAGGATGAATTGATTATTAATGTAAGGAATAATTGTACTTAGATTTTGATGATGCTAGTTTAATTAGGATATTAGAGTACCCTTATTAGAAATCTTGTATCAGAATCTTTCTAAGTGTAAGCATTAGAACAAAAGTGCTCTACGACTTCTTGGACCTTGTCTCCTACAGAAGACCTACCAGATTCAAGCATGTTACCTAAGCCGTCAAACTAACGAGAAATTCCCTAACGGCTAGGAGCCTCTCAATGGAAAATGATACCGGTCATGCATTAAATGCTCATTTAATGCGGTTCACTCGTTGGGATATTTAAAGCTGATGATTGACCAGGCAAATATCTTCTCGCTCCCAAATAAGCAAGTCAGCTACCTTTTGGAAACCAACCGGTCAAATCAACAATACATGCATTAAATGAAGATGTCCTTTACACTCCAACGGGAAGGCATCTCTCAGTATATATGATACACTTCGAAGAACTGCAAAGGTAACTATTCTCTAAAAAGAAAAAATATTCAAACTCTTGAGACTGCATCTTCAACAACACAACAAGAGAAAGCTTACGTTGGAAAAGATTATACTTCTCACATCTTAACCTTCCAACGTAGAGAGAATTGTTCCTCCAGTTCTTCAACACTTCTAAAGCCTCAACTACACATCTTTTGTAACGAAGATACGTTGGAGAAACCCTTTTGATACAAACACTTCTCGCAAAAGAAAGACGTCTCAAAGTAGCTAGAGTAGTGAAGTGGAGATACTTCAAAGAGACTCAGTGAAAAGAGACCAGTCATCAGGAAGCAAGGACTGCATCCCGGGTGATAGTTGTATTTGAAGAAGACGAGGAGAGCTTCTTAAGTGCTAGCTCTAAGTGTTGTAATTTGACCTTTACAAGCTTAGGGTAACAGTGGACTAGTGGAACACATTGTTCCTTGAACCACTATAAAAACCCTGGTGTCTCTTATTTACTGCTTTTATTTCTTGCATTAGATTCTAACTAGATAACTCTAAAAGGCTTGGACTTTGTGTTTAGCAAATCTTGCCTTAGGAGTTAACAGAAAGACATTTGCCTTAGGATTGTTTGAAGGCTACCCTACTAGAATACCTATCAGAAATCCTATCTTCTGCCCAGCAGTTCTTCTCTAGAGCTGACTATTCTGTTAAGTCTGGTACTTAGACTTGAAAAAGCAAAAGACCAGAACAGTCTATTCACCCCTCCTCTCTAGACTGTTCCTTGTTTAAACGGGACCAACAATTAATGTACAGGGGGTGCTACAACACTGAAAAATGCAATGTATTAGCATAAAGAAAGAAGAAGAAATCAGTAATAGCTTAGAAGAAAGATGCATGAAACAACTGTAGATGGTTCCAAGATCTTCTCAAACAAATGACTTCCTGCTACCCAATAAGCAATTAAGAAGCACAAGATAAAAGTGCATGATGAAAGCTGAAAATTTTGCATGTTTAATACAACAAAGTTATAGACAAAACTGTAAATCGTAGACATGGATCAGATTGCTCCATAATCACATTGCTATGAACATAATATATTGATCAAGTACGCAATATAACATGGATCAGATTGCTCCATAATCATTCACAAACACTTCATACAATATGCTATGCACCAGAATGTTCCATAATCATACAAAAAGAGCTAATTCAGTCCCCCCCTCTTCATTCTAACCCAAAAACATCAATGACTCACTAGTAGCAAAAATCATTACACTGGCTTCAGCATAGTAAGTACCCGTAAAATGAAAGAAATAACAAAAAACAAAAGGATTTTCTGTTTCATCCAGTAAGCAAACACCAGTAAGCAAAATACTACTACATATTGCTTTAACTCTAAGTCTACAATTACATCTTCAGAGTATTCTTCAATTGTGTAGCCTTCTTGTCTCTCTGTTGTTGTAAATGTTTTTCAAGCATTGAAGGTCTTTCTCTGAATTGCATTCCTGGAGCTTGAAATGGTAATTGAGTAAGTGCACTTACTTCAGTACCATTTCCAGACATCTTAATTTCCCTCAATTGGACCCCGATTGATAGTTTAGCTTTTTTCCTCTGTATAGCCTTTTCATTGGGGATTGGAAACCTTGTAACCACATTAGGATCATCACAAATTGTGATCTGCAAATGGGGAGAAGCTGGTGATATGATAATTTCACCAGGCATACCTGGCTGTATAAACAAATAAAACTTATTAGACAATAATTTAAGAGGTCATAAACATACTTACAAAAGTATATAAAATACTCTTACATTAAGTGTCTGCATTCCAGTATTAATATCCACAAATACTCCAAATCCATATGTTTGAGTGACATGTTTGGAAGATGTACTTTCTATGGTAGGAATTAAAATAGGTGTAACCTGAGATGAAATTCTCGTACCAAGATTTGATGGTGTAGTAATACTAGCCTCAGTTACAAATGAACCTGAAGGAGTTTGATCCTACAAATTAAAACAGAAACACTTTGAATAAAAAATCACCTATATGTGATTGAATATATGCTATATATATACATATATATATATATACATATATATATATACATATATATATATATAGAAAAGATTAGATGAGAAGTGTTCCTTAAAATGAGAAGTAAGAAGTAATCTCAGCCCTTGGATTTGCATGTGATCTTGCAACGCAGTAAACTTATAGACTGAATATATGAACTTATAACCAATAAATCATAACTTATAAAGCCCTCCATCATAATTACTAAAATGTCACCGCGTCCAAAAATTTTCAAGGTTTCCAGGCTTATTTTTTTGCGGTGGCATTTTCGTAATTATTTTCAACAGGGTCTATTAGTTAAACTTCACAGTTCTCAGCCTAAGAGCACTTCTCACTTGATCCGCTCCATATATATATATCAGGTATACCTGGTTTTTTCTTGGACAAGTCTTACTATTATGAAAAACAACAGAACACAAACTACAACCTAGCTTTCTTCCCTTTGTGGCCATTTTAGTTGAAGAAGCTGCAGGTGGCTCATTTTTCCCCTTCATTATCTTCTTGCGTGGTCTTCCAGGCATCTTAACAAATGGTGGAGGGAGAATTGCAGGGAATTCTTCACAGTGCGTGAACTTTCTCCCTAGGACCGGTTGTATTCGAAACTCATATGCTCTAAGGTAGGTATGTTTGTGATACCACTTCTCCAATACATTTAATGGGTCTATCTTACTATGAAATAACACACAACATGCATGTGGACAAGGGGTAGGTGGTAGTGATGATGTGGAGGACTGTGAGTGGCTAGCTCCCCAACCACCAAATCTACTGCATTAAATGTGTTTCCCGTCAGTACCTTGCTTTCCCGCCAAGGGCTCCAGAAGAACGTCCCCCTGATCTCCGGGCTTGAGCCAAAGTAAGCTTAAGGCCAGGCTCGCTGCTCGGGCCATGCTTGGACGCCCTCCCTTAGGCTCTTGGTTCTCCATCTGGTTCCATTTGGACAAGGAGATACGCGTCGAGCGTCTCCGAAGATAGGACGAGCGTCGGACAGGCCCACCTCGTTGGGCCGTTCTCAAGTTGGGCCTTGATGGTTCTCTTGCTAAGGGATAATGGACCGCTCCTCTGTCGGGCCTATTAACCCAACAATGACATATGGTATGATGTGCAATTATTGGGGCCAAACAATTAACATTGGGACACAAACACATGAATTTGAGACATCTCATGAATATGGGAGAACAAAAGGGGGTACCCAATCACCAATATTAAGGTTTGCAAACTCTCAACTTTTCAGAAATTTCACTTGTAGTGATTACCAACGTAAACTACTATGGCTAAATTAATTATTGAAGAAAGTCTGTCTTTTATTTTTTTCCCCGAAAGTCTTGCTTTATGTGCATATTTCAAGGATCTATAAACTCACAATTTTGAAACTATTCAAGAAAAACCATTAAAAGGGAAGCTATAAAATGATGCAAGTTCATAAATATTGCATACATTTTTTAAACCTACAATTTCAAAATTAATCAAGAAAAACTATTAAAAGGGAAATTAGTAAACGATATAATCTCATAAATAATGCAAACATTTTTTAAAGATTCAAACTTTTAAATTAAAAAAAATTGACCTGACCAAGCCCGATTGATCGACTGGAATCAGTCCAGAACCGTTCATACCTAGTGGTGGTTTACGTTTTTCTAGGCACATGAATTGAACCTAGTATGGTGGGAAATTTTCAAACCTCTAACATGATTAGAGAAAAGATTTGTTTAGTTTTGTACAATCTTTTATATATCTAATCAGAGTGACAGAGAAAGTAAGGCAACCTTCGGGTTGTTATCAATCTAGTAGGCAAAGTGAAGTTGATCATGTTGGTGAAATAAGTTTCATGGTTATTTTTGTATCAATATGGGCGATTTTCATATAATTTTTTTGATTAGATATAACTAGTGAATAAGAAATTAATACAAACTAGCGTAGGAAAAGTGTCCAAATTCCCTCCAAAAGATAGGGGTAACAAAATGGATCAAAATCGGGTCATTTATATATTACACTCAATT